TTCTTCTCAAGCTTTTCCAGGAAATTGAAGAAACAGAAACTCTCCCAAACAGTTTCTATAAGGCACGTATCTCTCTAATTCCAAAAGCAAATAGAGACACCACCAAAAAAAAAGAAAGAAAGAAAATTACAGGCAGATATCCCTGATGAACATGGATGCAAAGATCCTCAACAAAATAATAGCGAATAAAATTCAACAACTCGTCAAAAAGATCATACACTACAATCCAGTGGGATTCATCCCAGCGATGCAAGGATGGTTTAACATTTGAAAATCAATCAACATAATCCTTTATATTAACAAAATAAAAGATAAAAAGCATCTGATCATATCAATAGATGCAGAGAAAGCATTTGACAAGATCCCGTTTATGATGAAAACTCTCATCAAAATGGGTATTGAAGGGACTTTCCTCAATATAGTCAAAGCCATCTACCACAAGCCTATGGCAAGCATTATCTTCAATGAGGAAAAACTAAGAGCCTTCCCTTTAAGATCAGAGACAAGATAAGATGCCCACTCTCACCACTTCTGTTCAATATAATACTGGAATTACTTGCAAAAGCAGTTAGGCAAAAAAAAAAAAAGATATTAAGGGCATCCAGATATGAAAGGAAGAAATCAAGCTCTCACGATGTGCAGGTGATATGATTCTATATTTAGAGAACCCAAAAGCCTCTAGCAAGAAGCTCCTAGAAACAATAGACTTGTACAGTAAAGTCGCAAGCTATAAAATCAATACCTAGGGGGCTGGAGCAATAGCACAGCAGGTAGGGCATTTGCCTTGCACGCAGCCAACCCAGGTTCGATTCCCAGCATCCCATATGGTCCTCTGAGCACTGCCAGGGGTAATTCCTGAGCACAGAGCCAGGAATAACCCCTGTGCATCGCCGGGTATGACCCAAAAAGAAAAAAAAATCAATACCCCAAAATCCATGGCTTTCCTATATGCAAATAATGAGAGAGAGGAAGTGACATGAAAAAAGCAATCCTGTTCACAATCATACCTCAGATTAACTAAGGAGGTAAAATCAGTTTAACTAAGGAGTTTTCTTTTGTACAAAGAAAACTACAAAACACTACTTCACAAAATAAAAGAGGATATGAGGAAATGAAAACATATCCCCTGCTCATAGATTGGGAGAATTAACATTGTCAAAATGGCAATACTCCCCAAAGCATTGTACAGATTCAATGCAATCCCTATAAGGATACTCACAACATTATTCAAAGAAATGGATCAAACACTCCTGAAATTCATATGGAACAACAAACCCGCACAAATAGCTAAAGCAATTCTTGGGAAAAGAAATAAAGAATAAATGGTGCTGGCAAAACTGGACAGCTACATGCAGAAAAAAAATGGCTCAAACCTCTACCTAACACCATGTACAAAAATCAGATCAAAATGGATTAAAGACCTCAATATCAGGCCAGAATTCATAAGATATATTGAAGAAAAGGCCGGCAAAACCCTCTATGACATTGAAGCCAAAGGTATCTTCAAGGATGACACCCCACAAGTGGAAACAGAGGTAAACAAATGGGACTATCTCTATCTTAAAATAAGAAACTTTTGTACCTCAAAGGAAAAAGAGACCAGAATACAAAGACAGTCTACAGAATGGGAAAGGATATTCACCCAATACCCATCTGATAACATGTTAATATCAAGGATATACTAGGCACGGGCTGAACTCTACAAGAAGAAAACATCCAACCCCATCTGAAAATGGGGCAATGAAATGAACAGAAACTTTCTCAAAGAAGACATCTTAAATGGCCAAAAGGCACATGAAAAAATGCTCTTCATCACTAATCATCAGGGAGATGCAGATTAAAACAACAAGATATCTTCTCACACCACAGAGACTGGCCCACATCCAAAAGAACAAAAGCAACAGGTGTTGGCGTGATTGTGGGGAGAAAGAAACTTCCCTCGGTTGAGATGGCTACTTTCTCAGATCCTCCCGTACCTAAGTCCCAAACGAGATGCAACGTGTTCCTGATAGAAATGTGCTCTCAAAGTAAAAATATTTCTGATGCTGGTGTATTAACATTTCCTACAGAGAGACCCTCATCTCCTCCATATAGCTCCACTTCCAGTGCATCAGATGAAAGTGATGCAGATTATAAGTCTGCTGCCACTTCCTCGCATTCTGAGAGTGGCTCAGCCAAGCAGCCTTCAGACCGCGTCCAATCCAGATGAAGAGGAAGCAGTATCCATCTTATCAAGGGTTAAGAATGGATTCACTCAGTCATTTCAAAAAGGCCTGTGCCTTGTATGGACCTACATTTCCATACTGTAGGGAGTATCTTACAGATAGGAGTAAAACGGCTTATTGGGTACTTCAAGATTTTCACGTAGTTGGGCACGGCCATGGCTCCAGAAGCACAACGACTTAATACAGAGCCCCGCAGTTCACGGCAGAAAAGTGAATGGACTATGCATTAATCCATGCCTGCCCAGGAGGTGAGGGGTGTCACTCCCTTCCGCCTCTTTCCCCCTGGGCAACAAGACGGTGGCTGCCTCGGAGCTTTTTGGAAAGCCTGGTGTGAGCTGCCCGGGACGGGGCAACTAAAACCTCTTGGGAAGGGAGGTGTTCCCAGCTCGTCCTTCACGCCCTACTGAAGTCACGAGTTGCCCCCCACGAGCGGCTCTCCAGAACGGCCATGGCTCCAGAGCCACAGAAACCAATCTTGTAACTATCTGGCTCTTGGCAGAAATACCTCCAGGCCTAATAAGTAAAATATCAGAAACCCAAAATCACGTGGCCACTATTGCGGCTGCATGACATCATATGGTTCTCATAACTAACTGTAGAAAACAAATTATTTCACAGTGCCTTTTCAGCAGTTCTGATCGTTGGGTGTAAACTCTAAACAATAATGGTGCATCTTTTGTCGAAATAATGAATGTAATCAAAGTAGATAGAGTGTTAAGTAGAATTCATCTGCCTCACAGGCATTGGGAGGGGTGGGAGGGGGGTATATTGGGGTTCTTGGTAGTGAAAAATAAGTACTTGTGAAGGGAAATGTGTCTGATCATTGCATGACTGAAACTTAAACCTGAAAGCTTTCTAACTTTTCCCACAGTGTTTCAATAAACAAATATAAAAAATAAATAAATAAAATTTAAGAAAAAGATTTTCACATAGTCGCTAAAACGTGCTTAAGCCTTAGTACATGCAGTGGAGGATGTGGTTCAGTGATGAGGCCAAGGCAAAATTTCAGGGCCTAGGACATGCTGGACGAAAATTTTCAAGAATTAAAATGATTTACGAGATGTTAATAGGTGAAAGGAAATGGCACCACCCAAAAATGAAAGTCATCTTGCTTCCTGCTGTTTTTTCTCATGTCCTTGAGCAGCCCTGTGTGCTTGGGAGAAGATTGATGCAGATGCCAAATTTAAGGGAAGTTTTACAAAGATTGTACAGAGAGCCTTCAACCTTATGCAGACTTCTTAGGGAGGTTGAGGGAAACCATTGGAAGGCAGGGTAAGGGTAAGGAAACTCAGGAGCATTTGTCAAAACAATTGGAAATTCAAAGGAAAATGCTGATGAAGATTGGCAGGCTATTCTGCCTTAAGCATTAAGGGAAAGAAAGACTGGAATAGTGAAAGCATGTCATAATGGTAATGTTGGTTCTGTTAAACATAAGGAGCCAATGAAGGCTGTTGAGGACTATGCGGTACAGAGGCTAGATCAGGGCCCGTGAGTACGCAGTTATTTTCCCATTCGGCAATTACAGATTGATCCAGGAGGCACAGAGATGACTCATTCATGGGTGCTTACCAACTCAGCCATGACAGAAAAGAAAAAAGATGAGTGTTGGATGATTTAATTTAGAGCATACAATGATAAAAACTGATGAACAGAAGAGATAAAATTTAAAAAACAGTGGAAAATGACAACAGAACTACAGTAACTTGAAGGAAAGATACGGGGATAGGAGAAAAGGTTGGATAGGGAGGTAAGAAAAAGAGGTAATAGTGAAATAGTGAAATATAAATGACAGATATAAGGATGTTCACTTAAAATTCTTTTAAGTTTGTAGTATGTATAAAAATGTTCGTATATTCAAATGTATAATGAAATTGTTTAATGTCACCAAATATACAGTTTAACATTTTCTCAGATTTTCACAAGTGTCTTTTTAAAATGTGACAAATATTTGTATATATAATTATTTGTGGTATCAGAAATTGGATCTAGGGCTTTACACTTGGAAAACAATTGCCCTAACATTGAGTTACATCCCAAGTTCCATAAATGTCTTTTAATAATTTTTATTTAAATAATTTAAACAGTGCATTAGCTTGATATGTCTAAATATCCATAGTGATTCTTCTCTTTTTAAACTCCTGTAACTTTTATGGTTGTCAGAATTGTGTCAGAGATAAAGAAAATTCTTCGGTTAATTGGTGCATATTTTATGGTCATGAGGAACAGAACAGTAGTAAAATATATAAAACACCATTTGCCTTCTGATTTTCTGAATCAAAGTTGCCTATAGCTAACTGAGGAAAGAAAAGTGAATGCACCTCAATTAAGATGATAGCCCAATTTGTCTTTTCATGAGATTATATACAAAAGAGTTGTGATATCTACTTTTACAGAGGTATTGAGTTTTAACAATAATTAATAGAAAACAACTCATTCAATCTCAGGTGTGCATAAGAGGTAACGACTTTCAATCCTAGTCTTTTGATGGTCATAATTCATGGCTCAAAGATCTAGAAAGAAAACTGAATCAAGAGATGAATAGAATGTCTTGCCATCTCAGGAATTTATTATTTCCAATATTTAGATAATTTTCAAGTGTAAAATAAAATTTCTTCAAATTCTTTTGCGTTCAAATGGGAAATTTATTGATGCAAATATATTTCTAAAGTCAAAATTACAGAAAAATGCACTACATTGAAAAAATGTTATAGAGAATCATGTCTAAGAGAAAAATAATTGGGAAGGATAATTAGATAATTCTTTTTACCGTCAGGTTTAATTTTTTTCTTTTTTTAGCATGGAAACAATGAGATTGTAAACTTCTTGGGGAGCATTTATTGCCCAAATAAAGTCTAAGTGATTGTAAGTAGAAATCTCCTTGTGGTAAATAATATTAGGGAGTTTGGTAAGCAACCTGTTAACATCTTGAGGATCAGCCAACCAATCTTTGCTACCACTCCACAGTGCAATTGGTACATGCATTGACGTCAGATTATACTGAAGAGGTGTGGGCTAAAAAGCAAGAGAGAAAAGGAAAGAGAAAAAAAACAGGAAAAAAGTTTATAAGTATTTTAAACCCAACACTTATTTATTTGGTAGATCACATAATATTCAAATATTTAATATATAGCACAGCGATAGGGAGTTTGCCTTGCACGCAGCCAGCCCAGCGAGCCGGGTTTGATTCCTTCACCGCTCTCGGAGAGCCCGGCAAACTACCTAGAGTATCTCACCCACATGGCAAAACCTGGCAAGCTACCCGTGACGTATTTGATATGCCAAAAACAATAACAATAAATCTCAAAATGGAGATGTTACTGGGCCTGCTCAAGCAAAATTGATGAATGGGAGGACAGTGAGAGAGTGTGATAATCTTAAAGTGATGACTTATTTAATATGTTTTCTAAACTAAGCATAAATTCTAAATAAGATGATTACTCAGAGAAAGTCATCTTAATCCACAATGAAACATATATGCAATATGTTTGAGTGCAGAGGAGACTACAATTTGCATTTCCAGGAGATATTGATGCTACTGGTCTTGGACCATGCTTTGAACAACAAGACTTTAGATAATAATTCTAACAATTTTTTTAAAAAGTAAAAGTTCAGGGAAAGAAAGATGGCGGCCGCACGGGAGCCTTGTGGAAAGCGGGTTTGAGCCGGGCTCGGGGGAGCGGCGGGGACCTCATGGGAAGGGGGGCTTTGTGGGCCGTCCCCCCCCCACGCCCCACCGAGGTCGCCAGCTGCCCCCCACGAGCGGCTCTCCGGCACGGCCACGGCCCCGGAGGCACAAGGACTTAGCACAGAGAACCAGCCGCTTGGAGCAGAAAAGCAAATGGACTTGTGTTGATCCGCGCCACCAAGCCTGCCCGGAGGGGGAAGGGCGTTGACCGGCCCGCCCGCTCCTCTCTGGAAAGAAAGATGGCGGCCGCACGGGAGCCTTGTGGAAAGCGGGTTTGAGCCGGGCTCGGGGGAGCGGCGGGGACCTCATGGGAAGGGGGGCTTTGTGGGCCGTCCCCCACGCCCCACCGAGGTCGCCAGCTGCCCCCCACGAGCGGCTCTCCGGCACGGCCACGGCCCCGGAGGCACAAGGACTTAGCACAGAGAACCAGCCGCTTGGAGCAGAAAAGCAAATGGACTTGTGTTGATCCGTGCCACCAAGCCTGCCCGGAGGGGGAAGGGCGTTGACCGGCCCGCCCGCTCCTCTCTGGAAAGAAAGATGGCGGCCGCACGGGAGCCTTGTGGAAAGCGGGTTTGAGCCGGGCTCGGGGGAGCGGCGGGGACCTCATGGGAAGGGGGGCTTTGTGGGCCGTCCCCCACGCCCCACCGAGGTCGCCAGCTGTCCCCCACGAGCGGCTCTCCGGCACGGCCACGACTCCAGGGCACAGAAACCAATCTCTTAACTAGCTAACTTTTAATAGAAATTCTTCCAGGGTCAATAAGTAAAATAGCAGAAATTCATCATTTGATTCTTAAACCAAGTTGTAGAAAGCAAATCATTTCACAACGCTGTTTCAGCATGTCTGATTGGGGGGGGGGGGTCGTAAACTCTAAACAATAATTGTGCATCTTCTATCGAAATAATCTATCTAGTCAAAGTAGATAGAGTATTAACTAGAACTCATCTGCCTCACAAAGAATTGGGAGGGGTGGGAGGTGGGGGTCTATTGGGGTTCGGGGTTAAAAATGAGTATTGGTAAAGGGAAATGTGTTTGGTATCTACATGACTGAGACCTAAACCCGAAAGCTCTGTAACTTTTCCCACAGTGATTCAATAAATAAATAAATTATAAAAAAAAAAAAAAAAAAAAAAGTAAAAGTTCAACATAAAGTCAAGGAAGTTGATTGAATTTCAACTACAATAGATTATTTATACCCTGAAACTCTAAAATATGGCCTCAAAATGTCCTCACTTATTTTGGTTCGGTATGGACTTTCCAGTTTAGTTTATAGGTCAGCCAATTTATAGAACTGTATTTGCTGACATGATTTCACTAAATACCTATTCAAATTGTAGGAAAAACCTGTTTCAAACTCGATTCTTTTATCTATAAAATCACCATTCACACATAGAAAACTAAAAATGTTCATGAATTTAGACATGGGAACAAGAAAACTATCAGCATTTTTTCCCACTGCCCACCGAGATTTTTGTTAGCTGTTGTGGAACACATTCTCTTAAATATATATAAATATATGTATATATCTTTAATAGAATATGTTATGTTATATATATGTTTAAGAGAATATATATGTATATATATCCATATGAAATGCTGCTGGGTAGAGATTAGGATCTTATACATGCCAGACATTTGCTTTATCAGTTTATCTGTCTTCCAATTCCCAGGATCATATTGTCAAAAATCTTAACCCAATATGTTGGTTTTTTCACTATTCTCATCTTTTATAATAGACAAACTGCTAAAACAAAATATTTTATCAGCTGTAATTCTCTATAATTTTAAAATTGCTGTATATATTGGCAAATGGAAAGTGAAAAATGTTCATAATAACATTTTCCTTTACTATATTCCATTGTTCAAAAGTTTACTAGATTCCACATTTTGACTTTTAAGTGTATCATTTCTTCAGGTTGTTGCAGATTAATTACTCTGAGCTATTGATGATTCAATAGTCAAAATAATATCTTTCTGGCAGGAGATATTGTATTTGACACCTGTAGAGTGGTTGATTCAAATAAAGTATATGTTTAGAATGTTTGAAAAGGTAATAGTTGAGTAAAAATATATTTTCAACAAATGTTTTATCTGATGTTATTCTGATAACCTCCCTAATGTTACTAAAAGTGTTTTAGAAGGAGGAACATCTCTATATGTAAGATGTGTTATGAAGGGGCATAACTTTCTTCTAGATATTGAGTCATGGAACCAGGTAATAATTGGTAAGGTTATTCAACTACTATTTGGGTAAGAAAAAATTGGGGTTATAAGGAGGAATGGCAGAAGATTAAAAAATGAAGAGTACTTGTTCACTGAGAATTCACTCTGAATTAAGGGCCTATGAACATTATCCATTATGTACTGTCAACAGTTCCCTGAGTTTGGGTGAAAAATGAAGAAATTATTGTTTGAACTTATATTAGGCCCAGTTAAGATGGACTCCAAAACCTGGTTTCTTTGTGTTTCATCAAGTAGGAGAAGGACTCAATGTATCTATTGATATAAAGGCCACCATCTATTAAAACCGCCCTGCCTTGATTTGCAAGTTTACCATTATTTTATTATATCTGGGGGTATGTCCTAGTAGAATCACTTCATAGGGAATCTACAAAGGTGAAGGTATTATTTAAGATGACCTGCATTTCTATCTCTAGCTCATGAGTGTAACTATTATTTTATTATATTGTTTCATTACATTTTGTAAAATAGAAAAACAGGCAGGAAGGGAGTCTGGGACATGGGGAAGCTCTTTCTAAAAGGATAAGAAGAGAAGTTCTGGAAGTTTCTCATCTATGTGTGATATTTTGAGGAAAACGTCAATGTGCATGACCACTGAATCATGAGTTAAGAGTGAGAGAATGGACAACTTAGATGATGTTTTCCATAATTAATGTATTTCAAGGAAATGTTGCATATTTCATAATTCATTTCTTGTGGGGTGTATTGGCACCACATTGCTTTGTAAAATACATACTCAGTCATCATAATTTCATCTTTAACTTTTATGCATTATGAATAAATTCTTGTCTTAAAAGTTGTGAGTAAACTCTAAAACACTTACTTGATTATAGTGCATTATGTTCCGAGCTGGGCTTCCCCAGTCATAAGCTTGAAATTCCCCAGTCCTAATGGCCTAATGTATAGAAATTCAGAACATAAGGAAATATAAATATTTTTGCTATGAAAAAAAGTCCAAACATTTTAAAGTAGTTTAATTTCCATTTAAACAATTATTTGAAAACCCCTTTTTCTAATTCCAAAGATAATTACTACAAATCATCCAGGATAAGGTAATTGCACAAGTCCAATTTAGATTTGCTTAAAGTAATTTCTATGGCCTGTCAAGTCATGGAAATCATTCATTTTTGCTATTGAAGTCAATCTGCTTTTATAGAATTTTCATTCATGGGCTTTAATATTTATTTTAATCCCATGCCAAAAATTTTCCCATTAGGAACATTGATGTAACATTGATTTTGAAAACTGCTTTAGGTAAAGTTCTAAGGGCTTAGACACACAAAATTGTTTTAACAGCATTTGAGAAATGATACCTGGTCCCAGTGGAGGATATCTTGAACTGAAGTTCCTGCTGGACTATGTGATAAATACACATCAAAACGACTCTAGAAAGCAAGAATACATATACAGACACACACACACATACACATACACATACAAACATAAGTACAGTTTAACAAAACAGTTACAATATTTCTGATCCAATTTAAGTGTTTAAGTGCGGTGTTTACCAGAGAGAATGAGCAACAAAATTATACATCACTTTAGAACATGCAAAAGGCAATTTCTTAGAATAGACCATTTTATTTTCGCTATCCTAGGAAAGATTCTCATCTCTATTTTATCAAAATAAAAATTTGAACTCAAAAATAAAAATTTGAACTCAAAAAAGTTTAGAAAAGCATTAGTATTACATAAATATTTACAGCAAAGACCCTTCAATTTAGGTCTTTGAAATTTCAATCTTTGAGCCAGCATTCTGCCCTTCTCTGCCTAGTGTCAAAACCAGAACTACAATGAATGAAATGTTCACATACAATCCTTCCACTTTGCAAAAAAAAAGAAAAAAAAGAGAAGAAAGAATATACGTATTATACCTATTATATGTGTGTAATCATATATAAGATACTCTTTGTATGGAAGTTTTATATTCTATATTTTTAAAATATTGTGCTACCCTGCTACTGTTGCCCATATCCACCTAGATCAAATCCCAGGCAATAAAATGAAACCCCCTTCTCAGATTGCATAGTTCATAATGGGTCTTAATTTCACTACATAGAAAATCTTGTCTGAATCAAACCAATTGATCACTTTCATAAGCAATGACACAGCTTAATTACAATGCAGAAGGTGAATCTAATTTCCATTGCTCCCCATGTCTCTATTTTTAAGTCCTGATTGATAGAATGCAGTAATCTGCACTGCCTTTTCTTAGAAAGATGGGAATGAACTACTTTTTCCCTCCACACTCAGAATAAAGAGCATCCCCTGAACCATGGAGAGGGATGCTCTTCCAAGAAAAAAGAATTTGAACATCCAAGAACTTACTGTACTAAGTAAGGAATAAAGGAAGCTTCCTTTGTTCACGTGTATTTTTAAAAACCCATAGAGATTATCACCAGCACTGAGAAAAGAGAGCTGAATACCCTTAACTTCCTTGAAGTTAGAAGCCATATAATCTATTGTTATTTTCATTGCTGTGTTCTCGATATACACACTACTTAGCAATGCCTCTGTAAACTTTCTTTTTGTGAATAGGCTAGAGGTATAATTAAATCTTCTTATTAATTAACTTGATTTTCTCATGTGTTCAATGAAATATATATTTCATTTTAAGTACAGTATTAGTAGCAAAACATGTGACATTATGTACTATATACTTTGTACTGGGCTGGAGCGATAGCACAGCGGGTAGAGCATTTGACTTGCATGCGGTCGACCTGGGTGGTTCAATTCCTACGTCCCTCTCAGAGAGCCCAGCAAGCTACCGAGAGTATCCTGCCCACATGGCAAAGCCTGGCAAGCTACCCGTGATGTAGTCTATATGCCAAACACAGTAACAACAAGTCTCACAATGGAGACGTTACTGGTGCCCGCTCGAGCAAATCAATTAACAACAAAGGGAGGACAGTGCTACAGTGCATACTTTGTACTGTTTTATATATTTTATATACTTTAGCTTATTTTATATCCCAGAAACCAACTTTTTTACTATGGATAGCAAGGCAGAAACTTAAATCAGTTGCAAAGATAACAATTTAAGCTCTTGTTCTGACTCCATACTATTAACTACTTTATAATACAGCATTTTAACACATATATTTTAAAACCCAAATCAATGCAAAACAAATGAAATAGTGTACAGGGTATAGACAAGGTCTTACATACATAATTTCTCTGAAATACATTTTATAAAATTAATGGGGATGATTATTATCACTAATATTTATAAGAACATTTACTTAATGCCTCTCTTTTCCCAGAAGAATTTGATACCTCCTATCACAAAATTTATTACACTGAATATTTAGGTCATCAGAAATGGCAAGTTGTTACTTTTTCTATCTACTGCTTTTTTTTGGGGGGGGGGTTATGGAAGAGAGCTGGAGGAGCAATAATTTGTTATTTGTCTTGCTATATCTTTTCTAAATTTGTTTTATCTTCTCTAAATATCATGTACAAACTTTTGAAATAACTTTAGCTTCCAGAATTATTCCCAGTTTTGTGGACCTGAGAGTTCAGTACACAGACTTGGTGATTCACCACCACATCAATGTAACTGGTGGTGTCAGAGGGTTATCATCTAAAGATAATGGAAAAATCTCATCTGGTGACAAGGTTCAAATGAACAACCTCATGAATGCCAAGCCTATAATATCACTTGAGTTCTCTCTTAGGCCCCCAAAGTAACATTTACCAAAAAAAATTATTTTAATTTATTTAGTTTTGGGGGCCACACCTCGTGATGCTCAGGGGTCACTTGTGACTCTGTACTCAGAAATTGCCCCTGATGGTAACTCGAGGGACCATGTGGGGTGCCGGAGGATCGAACCCTGGTTGGCTGCATGCAAGGTAAATGCCCTGCCTGCTATATCACACTCTGGCAGGTGTGATAGTACAATGGGTAGGGTGTTTGCCTTGCACGTGACCAACCCGGGTTCAATCCCCGGCATCCCATATGGTCCCCCAAGCACAGCCAGGAGTAATTTTTGAGCGCAGAGCCAGGAGTAAGCCCTGAGCATTGCTGGATGTGATCCCAAAAAGCAATAAATAAGTAAATAAATAAATAAATAAATAATAGCACTGTAGCACTGTCGTCTGGTTGTTGTTCCTGAGAGGGGCGGAAGAATTGAAGCCAGGTCGGCTGCTTGCAAGGCAAATGCCCTATCCGCTGTTTTGGGACAAGTCATTAAGATAGTCCAGAATATTCAGGAAAAAAATTGTAACATATACAAACCGTGTTCAAGTTCTTGGTGTCAAAACCACAAACAAGAAATAAGGCATTTTTGCAGAGGATATCCAGTGCCGCACGGGAGCACACTTGAGTAGCAAGGAACTGATCCAAAATGTTGTGTTCCAAGAACATCTTATTTCCAAGTACAAACTGAAAAATAAAAAACATCATTTGAAAGTTATTAACATTAACCCGTAGAAAAAAATTATTTATCTGATTGTTGTATACAAATGTAAGCCAATAATATTTTCATGTTTCTGGATGTCATTTTAGGAATTTTAAATACTTTCTCTCATTTAATTTCAAAAATAAAATTGTGAAATGGACAAGGCAGATCAATTTTGCATCTCTAGGGTGACACTGAGAAGTGTGCTCATGATTAAAAAGACACAAAGAGTTTTTATTTTGGGGGTAATTAGAGCTATAAAATAAATTATAAAATGGTATGATAAAAATCATAATTGCCAAGATACATGATTTCTGAAACAAATAATAAAACATCCTTGAGAGAAATGGGTGACTCAACATAATTTTAGCAAAGACTTTCCAAAGACAAAAAGTCTAGGTAGTTTAATAATTGAAAGTATTTGCCCAACACATCATGAAGAAAACGTCAGGTTAGTTTTTTTTTACCTTACTATTTTACTTCATTTTTATTTTTCCTATTCTGCTCCAGGGATAGAATCACAGACTTGATAAAGCTGTGTGGAGTGTCTGATAAATGAAACATCTCTGAAGAGGCAAAAAGCACTCCAATCCAGATAAAGTACTTAAGAGCAAAGAAATAAGTAGAGATATTAAAAGCTGTTCTAGGGACTGATAGTTCCCTACTAATCAACAAACTACATAAATGTGTGTGCGTGTGCGTATGCGTGGGCGTGTGTGTGTGTGTATGTGATGGTGGAGTGGTAATGAGTGTAGATTTTTTTGGTTCCTTTTTACCGCTTTAAAATTAAAGTTAAGTTTAATTTCTTAAATTCAGTCAAAGAGAATCACATACCTTTATCAATGATGTAGGGAGAATCGAAAGTCTTCTAAGAGGTGTTGTTGCATGGTTGATATAGGCAATTGGAGCTAGAGCATAAAATACTTCTATTTTCTTAGCCAGTTCTGGGTTTGTGGAAAAGGCAATAAAACCTGAAATAGAAGAGCATGGAACTGGTAAGGAAGTAGCTTTAGTTAACACAACATTATTTTTCCTTATTCTAGAAAATGGGACAGCTTTAGAATAATCTTATGGTGATAAAAAAATTATCATTATCAAAATGATGATTTAAATTATTCTTATCATTATGTGATAATTAATTAATATGTAATAGAAATAGTATGGAATATGAAAGGTTAAAAGTACCAACTTGAAATTTGATCAAATGGAATTAGAATCCTAGCTCTGTGATTTATGAGTTGTGATACCTAGAATAAGTCACCTAAACTCTTTAAGAGTCTTCATTTTCTCATCTGACTTATAGAGATAGAATGAATACTTCCTTACATTTAGAAAATAAATAAGATAAATTGTGAATTTGCAACATATTTGGAATATGATACATAATTAAATGAATATTTAGGATAACTCAAACATTTATGCATAATAAATATAGTCGTTATATATGCAATTAATTGGTTTTATAAATTATAAACTTATAATGGTTTTTAAAATAAATTAATTGGTTTTATTAATTGGCTGTATAAATATTATAAATTGATTTATATATAAGTATAAGTATAAATACTTAGGTTTATAAGTATATTAGTAGATGATAATATAGTCAAATAGTAAATCAAATCCTCTCTAAATTGACTACATAGGAAATCTATCTCTACGGTTAATAATGGTACACTGATGAGACTCAGGAATAGCCTGAACAGAAAGCTTTTAGAGGGTCAAAGGGATGGTACAGCAGGTAACGTACTTGCTCTGCATGCAATCAACCCAGGCACAATCCCTGGCATGGCATACGCTTCCTCGTGCCATATCAGGAGTGAACTCTGAGCTCAGATCCAGAAGTACACTCTGAGCATAGCCTGGTTTGGCCGCCAAACACAAAAATAGCATAAAATGAATAAAATTAAAAGGGTTCACATTTAGAGAATTTTACCTATAAAACATAAAGCCTGGTTCTACTGGAGAAAGAATGGTCTTTCCTAGGGATGTGTTTAAAGAAAGTTGTCTCTGACTGCCTAGCTGTGCAGATTGCAGGCCATGAGAGGAAGCAATAATCCCAAAAAGGAACCAAGTATCAAGAGGCCCATGGACTTCATAACAATGTCTTGAAATAACTAAGTCCACTTTAAACACACTTAGAACAAAGGAAACTTAGCTAGTGTCCTAGAAAACACAGAGGATAAGAAGATGTGAATTTTTAGGCAGAAACAACACAAAAATGCACAAGTATGGTGCCAACAACAAATTGCCTATGAGTGAGAAAAAATAAGAAATGTTCAGAATTCAAATAACTCTAGAGGTAGGTTAAAGTTATTTGGTGTCAGCATGGGTATTCTTATTTACCTCAGTGAATTCTACAGTATTCTACAGTATTACATCTTAGTGCAATAATTATCATTGAGAAAAGGACAAACTATAGTTTATGCTGTTTTAAAAGGTTTGAAAAACAATGAAAAATCAACTTATTAGCAGTACAATGGTAAAGCTTTCCAATCAAAGGGTTAAATCTTGCCATAACTTGGAAATTAAAGAAGTAAACGTTAGTAATATAGAAAAGTTTATATTTTCAAAAAAGAATTTTGAGGTAATTGTTGACCACGTGCTACTGAAGATGTGCTCTGGGCTGCCCAAATTCCCCTTCAAGTCTAAGATATTTATTTAACACAAGCTTCAGGTAAGACTTTTTTGTTTTTGTTTTTCCTCTCATGAACCAAGGTCATGTTGCTCCCAGAGATAGCTTACGTTAAATCTGGTTAAAAATGTGCAAGAATACCCAGTCACCATTTTAGAGGAGTCTGTGTATTATTCTCTTACAGAGATGAATGAGTTCCTGTCGATTGCGTTATAATTCAGCTTCTCCCTCTGCCTGGTTCTGATATTTTTCCTTAACTCTGAAAGTGTTCCTTAAAATCATTACCGATGGTGATGCCCTGTGAATGACTTAGTTATTTCAAGACATTGTTATGAAGTTCATGGGCCTCTTGATACCTGGCTTCTTTTGGAATTCTTGCTTCCTCTAGTGGCCTGCAATCTACACAACCAGGCAGTCAGAGCCAACTCCCTTTAATGATACTCCTTGGGGATGTGAACTTTTACACAATGCCACTTTCACACAATGTAAGGTCTTCATCAAAAAACTATCTTTTCCTAAAATTTGTCAAGTGAGATACACTGGTAGGGTAAACAAGTTTCCAGCACCAATTTCATCCACATTTATTATTATTATTATTATTTGTACATTTGTATATTTGTACAGGCAGGAACCCCTGTGCCTGGCTGTACTCACCGGGGCCCCTTAAAGGGGGGAGGGTTGAGTTTCTCTCCCCCCACGCCACCCCGAGCAGAGCCCCAGCAGCTGAGGACCTCCGGAGCCAGCCACAGCCATCCTGGGACCACTTTCCACATGTCCGAACGGGCCTCATGCATGAAAGAAATGGCAGAGGAGCCCAGGCATGCGGGTCCTGAGGCTGAGGTCTCCAAGCCTACTCAGATTGGAACTGGCCCTTCTCCAACCACACCCCCCATCTTCCAGTAGGTAGGCGTCACACCCACCAGCTGCCGCCAGCGCCAGGTTGGTCCCATCTACGGCCAAGACGCAGAGACTATAAAACCCAGCTCCCGGAAGTGACATCTCATTATCTCGTTTTTCCTTTGGAGAACCTAGCAGGCTACCAAAAGTATCCTGCCCGCACGGCAGAGTCTGGCAAACTTCCTGTGTAGTACTCAATATGCCAAATAGCAGTAACAATGATGGGTCTCATTCTCCTAATCCTGAAAGAGCATTGAAATGGCTCTTTTAAAATCTCAGGGCTAGGAAGAAGGAGACGTTACTGGTGCCTGCTCGAGGAAATCGACAAACAACAGGATGATCGTGATTGTGATCATGATTTGTACATTTATGGACACTCTGAAAGCTTGAAATACAAGTGGGAAGTAAGGTGAGCTGAGTATGAAGGTCAGCATATAAACATAGCATTATTTCTTCCACATAATTCCTCATTTTTGCCTTCTGTTCCCAACCTTTAAAAAGTCATTAGTGTGGGCACAAATGAACCTACAAGACTATTGTAAAGTGATTTATACTGACTCAGTTCTTTCCTTTTGTTACTGTTACCTACCGATGGTGGTACCCTGTGAATGGCCAATATAGTGTAGTTTTTCCTGTCCAGTTTTCTTCAAAATTAAATCGATTGTAGCTGGAAGATCATATTTGGCCATTTCATCAAAACTGAAAAAAAAGCCAATTGGAGAAAAACACAATTACTTCAATTACTTCCTAAATTTCTAAAAAGTCAAACTTCATTATAGTTAAGGTGCTCATTAAAAAAATAGAAAACTATCAAAAATTAGATGTTCATATTTTTGGGGGTAGATGTCAGTATATTCAACCCTGTTCCACTGGAACAGCATGCCTTTGTTCCAGTCCCATGTTGTTTTAATTACTACTGCTTTGTAGTAGAGTTTGAAGTTAGGGAGGTTGATTCCTCCCGTTTTCTTTTTCCCAAGAATTGCTTTAGCTATTCGTGGGGGCTTATTGTTTCATATGAATTTCAGGAGTGTTTGCTCCATTTCTTTGAAGAATGTCATGGGTATCGTTATAGGGATCACATTGAATTTGTACAATGCTTTGGGGAGTATTGCCATTATGACAGTGTTAATTCTCCCGATCCATGAGCCTGGGATATCTTTCCATTTTCTCATGTCCTCTTCTATTTCCTGAAGTAGCGCTTTGTAGTTTTCTTTGTAGAGGTCTTTTACTTCCTTAGATAAGCTAATGCCTAGGTAATTGATTTTCTGGGCACAACTGTGAACGGGATTGTTTTTTTCATGTCACTTTCTTCTCTCTCACTATTTGCGTATAGGAAAGCCATGGACTTTTGGGTATTGATTTTATAGCCAGCAACTATACTATACAAGTCTACTGTTTCTAGAAGTTTCTTGGTAGAGGTTTTAGGGTTCTCTAAGTATAGTATCGTACCATCTGCCAATAGTGAGAGCTTGATTTCTTCTTTTCCTACCTGGATGCCCTTAATATCTTTTTCTTGCCCAATCCCTATTGCAAGTTTTTCCAGTACTATATTTAACAGCAGTGGAGAGAATAGGCATCCTTGTCTCGTTCCTGATCTTAGGGGGAAGGCTCTCAGTTTTTCCCCATTGAGGATGATAGGGAGCAAAAAATGTGAAGTGGAGCAAGGAAAGCCTCTTTAACAAATTGTGCTGGCAAAGCTGGACAGCTACATGCAAAAAATGGGCTCAGATCTCTGCCTAATACCATGTACAAAAGTAAGATCAAAATGGATTAAAGACCTCAACATCAGACCGGAATGTACAAGGTACATTGAAGACAAAGTTGGCAAAACCCTCCATGACTTTGAAGCTAATGGTATCTTCAAAGATGTCACACCACTGGCCGAGCACGTGAAAACAGAGATAGATAAATGGGACTATCTTAAACTAAGAAGCTTCTGCACCTCAAAAGAAACAGTGACCAAAATACAAAGACGGTCTACAGAATGGGAAAGGATATTCACCAAATACACATCCACAAGGGGTTGATATCAAGGATATACAAAGTACTGGTTGAACTCCACAAAAAGAAAACATCCAACCCCATCAAAAAATGGGGTGATGAAATGAACAGAAACTTTCTCAAAGAAGAAATCCGAATGGCTAAAAGGCACATGAGAAAATGCTCTGCATCATTAATCATCAGGGTGATGCAGATCAAAACAACAATGAGATATCATTTCACACCACAGAGATTGGCCCATATCCAAAAGAACAAAAGCAACTGGTGTTGGCGGACGTGGCAAGAAAGGAACCCTTTTTTATTGCTGGTGGGAATGCCGACTGGTTCAGCCCTTTTGGAAAACAGTATGGATAATTCTCAAAAAATTAGAGATTTGACCCAGCACTACCGCTCCTGGGAATGTATCCCAGAGAGGCAAAAGAGAATAGTCGAAGTGACATCTGCACTTGTTTGTTCATTGCAGCACTCTTTACAATAGCCAGAATCTGGAAAAAACCTGAGTGCCCGAGAACAGATGACTGGTTAAAGAAACTTTGGTACATCTACACAATGGAGTACTATGTAGCTGTTAGAAAAGATGAAGCCATGAAATTTACATGTAAGTGGTACTACATGGAAAGTATCATGCTAAGCAAAATGAGTGAGAAAGAGAGGGACAGACATAGAAAGATTGCACTCATCTGGGGAACATAAAGTAAAAAAATAGGAGACTAACACTCAATAATATCCGAGATAAGTACCAGGAAGTTTATTCCATGGCCTGGAGGCCAGCCGCACACTCTAGGGAAAAAGGCAGCTCAGATAGAGAAGGGAGCACCAAATAAAGGGTGTTGGGAAGATCCTCCCAGGATGGGAGATGCATGTTGAAAGTAGACTATAGACCAAACGTGATTGCCACTCAATGCCTCTTTTGCAAACCACAGGACCCAAAAGGAGAGAAAGAACAAAAGAGGCAGGGTGGAATGGGGGGTTGGGAGGTGGGAGGGATACTGGGATCAGTGGTGGTGGAGAATGGGCACTGGTGGAGGGATGGGTACTCGGTCATTGTATAACTGAAACCCAAGCAGAAAAATCTGTAAGTCTACAGCTGTACCTCATGGTGTTTCACTAATAAAAATTTTTAAAAAATAGAAAACTAGGTTCTCTAAGTTTTGCTGCTTTTAGACCATTAGTGAGTAGCAGATACTTTTGTCAGTGGCATATAAATATCTGACATCATTTCTGAGGCACAGTATTAGAGCTGCAATTTAATCCAAACAAGATAGTATTGGTAGGTGGGAATTATTTCTATTACTGTCTGAATGTCAGATTTAATCATCATTTGTATGTTGTGTTCCAGCATGATTTAAGATAAACAGTTTTATGAAAAATATTTTATTCTTCATAAATCAATCAGAGTGTTCTTTTGATAATGAAAGATTATTTGTTTGGTTCCGGGGCCGAGATCTCCAAGCCTACTCGGATTGGAGTCGAGCATCCTCCACCCATATCCTCCAAATTCCAGTAGGCAGGGGTCACACCCACCAACTGGCCCCCTGGCGCCGTGTAATCCCATCAGTGGCCAAGACTCTGAGACTATAAAAACCAGCCCCCGGAACCGCGCGGCCGCGCGACATCTTATTATGACATCTCATTCCTACTTTGACAAACTGGCAGGCTACCGAATGTAGTCTGCCCACACGGCAGAGTCTGGCAAACTCCCCGTGGCGTACCCAATATGCCAAATACCAGTAACAATGATGGGTCTCATTCTCCTAAAGAATATAATCTCAGGGCTAGGATGAAGGAGACGTTACTGAGGCCTGCTCGAGGCAATCGACGAATAACAGGATGATCTGTGATCTGTGATCTGTGATTTGTCACTCTCTTGTTGAAAAATTCTCAATGTCTTCCTAACACACTAGATTGAAATCCAAGGTCCTTATCATGGTTTCCAGAGTCATTCCTGTTTGGTCCTAGTAGCATCTCTGGTCTTTTCTCATGTCACTCTCTCTCTTCCTTATTACATTTGAAATAGACTACCTGTTTTTCCATTATTGGAATTTCAGTGTGATTTAGTACCTTAGCATAATCCACCAAATTTTCTTCTCTCCATTTATATTAGTCATCTCCAGAAACAAACTACAAAAGGTACATTGATAAAAATCTCTGGTAATTTCTTTATGGTGTCTGAATTTTATGTTTTTCATTTACATTGTTTTTGAGGATGACTCACCTGCTGTTCTTGAACCCCAGATGGATTTTAACACGTACTCAAATCTATAAAGATGTTCTTTTCAGAGTCTGCTAAAAGCAATAAACTCCCTGTGGTACCACTTTGCTCATTTGACTTGGAAAAACATTTACTCATGAATTTTTCTTATAATAGGTTCTGAGATCATAGACCATTTGGAGAAAAAGTTACCCTTAGAATGAGGTGAATGGAAGACCAATGAAATGGGATGTGAATAAAAAAATAAATTCCTTTTTTCTTACATTGAGAGGAATAAGATAAAATAAGACTGACGGACTGGAGGCAATTGTACTAGCAGGTAAGATATTTGCCCTGCACATGGCTGACCTATTTTTAATCTCTGGCATCCTATATGCCCCCCCCCCCCCCAAGCACAGACAGGAGTAATTTCTGAGAGCATAGCCAGAATGACCCCTTAGCATCACTGAATGTGACTCCAAAAAACAAAAAAAAAAAAATAAAATGACTGAATTGGAATATTCATGTATGAATACCCATGCTTTAAATACCACATGCTTTAAATAAATAAATAAACAAACAAACAAATAAAGCATCCTTTAAATAATACATGCTTTAAATACTACAATGCTTGGGGCTGGAGCAATACCATAGCAGGTAGGGCGTTTGCCTTGCACACGGCTGACCCGGGTTCAATTCCCAGCATCCCACATGGTCCTCTGAGCACCATCAGGAGTAATTTCTGAGTGCATGAACCAGGAGTAATTCCTGTGCATCACTGGGTGTGACCCCAAAAGAAAAACAACAACGACGACAACAACAAAACTACAATGCTTATTTTTAGTTGTTGAGTTTTGTTTGATTGTTTTTACCTGAAAGCCCAGAACTCCTCTGAGTCTGTTGGATAGTATATGTTTTTCCTGGCATAGGTATTTCCCCTGCTGTTCCCCAGCCACACATCGAAGCAAGCATCTGCTAGAATGAAGGCCAGGCTGTTGTTGGGAAGATTGGCAACCCAATTTGAGGATGATGCAAGCACTCCATGCTGCAGAAACACGACAGGCCTTGTGCCTAAAAAGAAATTCATTTAAAAGTTTTATAAACTGGTTTCTAATTCTAAGGTCACGGATCACGGTCCTCCCATTGTTCATTGATTTGCTTGAGCGGGCCCAGTAACGTCTCCATCATGAGACTTGTTGTTACTGTGTTTGGCATATCGAATATGTCACGGGTAGCTTGCCAGGCTCTGCTGTGCGGATGAGATACTCTCGGTAGCTTGCCGGTTTCTCCGAGAGGGGCGGAGGAATCAAACTCGGGTCGACCATGTTGGCCGCTTGTAAGGCAAACGCCTTACCACTGTGCTATTGCTGCAGCCCAATTCTAAGGTAAGTTAACATAAGAAGAAAGAATTAAACATGCTTACTTGGTTGCATTTAGTAATTTTGGATATATTATTTTAACTATGATGATGGTTTCTCATGTGAAAAAAATGCAGTAAATTGTAAACTTTTACTGTGCAGCTATTAAATGCTAAGGTTATCTTTAAAAGCATTTTAGAATTATATTTTAAGAAAATTCTATGTGATAACAATTGAAATCTGTGTGATAAAATTTTGGATTGTCTTGCTTATTTTTATTCTTTTAATTTCAATATTTTCTATAATACATAAAACACAGATTTTAAATAGTATTATCAAAAAATGACCCTTGTTGGTTTAAGGCATTCCTTAATGCCTGGAATTATCTCCTCCTTATTTTCTATGTACATCCAGCCTAACTCTTCATAATCCTCTAGACTCAGTTCATTTATTATTTTTGAGAGAAAATTTTCCTTGATATTCCTAGGTTGAATTAGGGACACTTGTCAGGACTTCCAATGTAATATTCTGTGCATAGCTCTAGATGTGCACTTATTACTTATTATCATGATAAACTGTCTCTTATAGAATTGATGGTTATCTCCTTAAAGACATCAATATTGCCTCAATCAGTGTTGCATCACTAAATTGTGCAAAACGCATTAAGTCCTTTGGAAGAAAAGAAAAAGAAAATACAAGCAAGGGGTAAAGACAAGAAAAGAGAGGTAAAAAGGGGGGAAGACAGGTATGGAAAGAGAAAAGAGGATAAAGGAATCAGGGAACAAAGGTAATACCGCAGTCCTCTGAATTTTCCTTCCCATGAGGAATTCTGTTGATCCCAAGGATATAACCATCTTCAGTCACAACTTTATATTCCTCACTTGGATAGCCCCAGTAAGCAATCATCTCAGCCTGATGAGAAAAAAGCAAAACTTCAAGTTTCCATTATCTACTATACTGACTTACATAAGTAGGCATTGTTAATTGTTTTTGATTTGTCATATAATAGTTTAAACCCCAATAATTAAAAAGTCAAGGTATTATTTCATAGTTTTAGAAGTTTTTCTCTCTAGTAACTTACAACACTCATAGTTGCTTCAGGGTTTTCAGGTGCTAGTTGTCCCACAAATCCATGAGCAGGTCCAAACACGGACATCAAACTTGCCACTATTAGTAGCAACCACATTTTGGTCTTGTCTGAAAAAGAATAACAACCCATACTATGGTTAACCCACAATGCTTTCACAATACTTGTATCTTGTGCTAATTTTGCCGTGGTGAAAAAAAAAAAAGTGCTTAGTTTTGATTATATTGTAATAAACAATTAGCTGGGACATACATGTACAATTTAAGATTTAGCAGGTTTTTACACTAGTATGTTCATTTTTTAGAACATTTCTGTTTTGGTTTTCAAGTCGTAATGAAAGAATGTCCTAATTAAGAATCTGACAAAATATCTTATTCCTTTAGTGCCTTCTCTTTAAGACTTTTTTCAACATAGTTTGAGAGCTCAGGAAGCTGAAAGAGGTGAGGCAGGTGAATTGTGTGGGCATATGACTTATTTAGTGTCCATATCAATATAACATTCATTCAAACCTTTCTGGATAGTTCTAACATTATTGAAATAACCATCCAACAGATGTAATTATTTTGAAGCAATTACATGGCTTAAGATGCTCGATTGACTATCAGAGTTAGAACAATAATCTTAGAAACGTTTTTGTTCTTCTAAATTTTTGCTTATATATTCCTTAATTAAAATAACTTAGGTGGTCTTTGGGAACTATAAATTGATAAAATATTGGATAATACTTTTCCCATGAGTGCTTAAGAATGAAAATAAGTATCATGATTTGAAAATTATTACTGAACCTTACTAATTTAACCTACTTGTATTTTATATTTAAGAAATAGCAATCCTTAGCGACAGGGCAGCAGCTAGTGCTGGAGGGACGGCAGCTCTCTGTGCTCTGAACAGTCGACGGGGCCACAAAACTTCTGCATGAGTGAATGTGGGTGCCCGTTGCATATTCTGGCTCAGGGAGAGCTCCAATAAAGAAACTGGCTGTTCATCCTCGCAGAGAGCACCACCCGAGTGAGACTCCCGAGGATGGCAGTGTGTGTGGCAGCTCTTGGCGCTCTGGGCGGCCCCAAAGTTTCATGTGGTCTGAACACGGCTCTGCAGGTCTGACTTGGCACAATACATGGAGTGCGAGTTGAGGTCACGGAGTTGAGAAGGCGCTCTGAGTCCCCACTATGGGGGCCCCGCTCTTCACCGCCAGAGGGGCAGCCCCACCAAGACCATCCTGCATCTCCGGCAGCATATTATGGAGGAAATCCTCCCAGAGCACCAACTACTCTCTGGAGACAGAAGATGGGGGCGTGTGCCCACTGGTCAGGTTCTGCCTGCCTGGTTAGCTGAGTGCCCAATATTGTACGGTGCATATTGTAGCAACTCTGGACCTGATCTGTCTCTCCTGGGTCCACTGCTGCTGACTTTACTGGGACTCAAGGAGTATGGTACTGCTGGTATGTCAACCTGGACCCGCAGGTCAAATGCATCAGCAGCCTGATGGTGTCCTTAGGCTTACTGACACCCCCAAATAATTGCTATGCCTCTGTCCAGACTCCAACAACTCAAGACCAAATTTCCCAAGAAATTTAACTGACAAAAGTTAGATATGTGGGACCCATACTCACAAACCACCTCCAGCTCAGCCATACAAGTTCATTTATCGGCCTTTCTTCACAGATCCATATATAAATCTCGAAAGAGATCAGAAACTGCAATTATCTCAGACCCACATGAAGTTTTCCTAATGGGGTACATCAGAGGGGAGCCGATTTGCCAATTCACACTCAAGCAAAAGCCCTGGCAGCTGCTTGCTCCTACAATTCAAAATTGTCACCATGCCCCAAGCCACACTCACTACCCAGGGACTGACCTCGCCAAGATTCTAACTTGCTGGAAATTGGGATATACATGTTTAGTGACTGAAATCTCCAGACTTTCTCAGAATTGAGATGGGGTACCTCCCCCTACTTCCCTATACTCTTGAAATCACTGGCAGTCGCCCTCATAAACCAACTCCAGCAGCACCATGAAAGATCTTTGCCAATCTTGCTTCAGAGACCCATTAGTAAATCTTGAAAGAGACCAGAAGCCACAATTAATCTCAGACCTGCATAAAGCTGTAGAAATAAGGTACATTGGAGGAGAGCAGGTGTGTCAGTGCCCACCCAAGAAGAGACCCCAGAAGCTGCTTGCTCCCACAATCCAAAATTGCTATCGTGGCCCTGATAACACCCCACTGTCTTGGGACGGTCCTCACCAAGATATTAATCTACTGAAAATTTGGATATGCATGTTTTATGATTGAAATCTCCAGGCTCCCTTGGGATTGGGATGGGTTATCTCTCCCCCACCTCCATTCACCTCTGGAAGCACTGGGCAGTCATGCTCACAACCTAAAGCCACCAGTTAATTGCAATCCATAATGCACAAAAGGGGAGAGCAAGAAGAAAGATGCCTGTCACAGGGGCACGACATGGAATGGGAGGATGGTGAGCAGGGGGACGGAAACGGGGGACATTGGTGGTGGGAAATGTACAGAGGTGGAGAGGTGGAGGGATGGCTGTTGGCTGTTGGAATATTGTATCACCAAAATCCAATCATAAATAGTTTTGTGATGATCTATTTCACAGTGATTCATAAGAGAGAAAGAAAGAAAAGAAGGAAGGAAGGAAAGAAGGAAGGAAGGAAGGAAGGAAGGAAGGAAGGAAGGAAGGGAGGGAGGAAGGAAGGAAGGAAGGAAGGAAGGAAGGAAGGAAGGAAGGAAGGAAGGAAGGGAGGAAGGGAGGAAGGAAGGGCAAGCAGTCCTCTTGATAAGTAATTAAATGCTAATATAGAGTAGGCTAAATTAGAGCTATTGTTTAAGTGATTGATTACTCAAATTTTTCTATTTTGGTAGACAAGAACGATAGCACAGAGTGTAGAGTGCTTGCACAAAACTGACTCTGGTTCAATCTTTCACACTACATATGGTCCCCTGAGCCCAGAGAGGGATGATACCTGAGCACAGAGCCAGGAGTAAGCCCTGAGCACTGCCAACTGTGACCCTTCCAAAGAAATTAGAGGCTTTTCTAAATTATTTTAAAAAACATGTATATGGGGTTTTTTGGGGGACCACACTCAGCAATGCCCAGGGATTACTCATGGCACTGTGCTCAGGAATCAGTCCTAGTGGGCTTGGGGGACCATATGAAATGCCAAGGACTGAACCTGGTTCTATAACATGCAAAGCAAGCACCATACCCACTGTACTATAGCTCCATTAACTCCCCAAATATTTTAATCATCATAAAATATCTGCAACTCTTATGACAAAGGAATCTTTTCTTAAACATCTAAATAGCTTTAACAAATCAGTAAGAAAAAGAATAACAATAGGATTTTTGTGATACGTAGAAACCTTCATATAGAAAGAATAGTGGCCTGAGTCTCTACAAGCATAGCTTGGGAATGCGGGAACCAGGACATTTCCTCCAAACTGCAATGGGGACGACCCGGCTCCCAGGCAACCTCTGATTCCGGAAGTCATGCCCACAGCCCGCCCCCTCCCCCAGCGCCATCTTTACAGCACACAGCAACAAAGAAGAACACCGCTGGAGGGCACCACAGCTCTCAGAGAATGCTCCAGGTCCCAAACAGAGCCGATTTCACTGGGAGGTCCCAGATGGGCTATGTGCCGCATCCTGCCTTCTCCAGATGGAACCCAGTGACCATGAGTCTCTACAAGCATAGCTCGGGCATGCGGGAACCAGGACATTTTTTTCCAAATCGCGAGGTCGTGTAAGCGACTGCGTGGCATCTCCTTATATATACAAAGTGATCAATGGAAAGTAAATCATCCAACGTTTCTCCCTGAAAATCAGGCTTAACTCTTTTGCAAACCACAACACTCAAAAGGAGAGAGAGAACAGAGGGGAATGCCCTGCCACAGAGGCAGGGTGGAATGGGGGGTATGGGGGTTGGGAGGGATACTGGGATCCGTGGTGGTGGGAAATGGGCACTGGTGGAGTGATGGGTATTCAAAATAAAAATTAATTAATTAATTAATTAAGAAAAAAATAAAAGAAAGAAAGAATCGTGGCCTAATGCCTTAAGAATTAATTTTTTCAGGATGAAGTCATAAAATTTACATACAAGTGGTACTACATGGAAAGTATCATGCTAAGCAAAATGAGTGAGAAAGAGAGGGACAGACATAGAAAGATTGCATTCATCTGGGGAACATAAAGTAACGAAATAGGAGACTAACACCCAAGAATAGCCAAGATAAGTACCAGGAGGTTTACTCCATGGCTTGGAGGCCAGCTGCACACTCTAGGGGTAAAGGCAGCTCAGATAGAGAAGGGAGCACCAAATAAAGGGTATTGGGAAGATCCACCCAGGATGGGAGATGCATGCTGAAAGTAGACTATAGACTGAACATGATTGCCACTCAAGTCCTCTTATACAAACCACAGCGCCCAAAAGGAGAGAAAGAACAAAAGGGAATGCCCTGCCACAGGGGCAGGGGGGAAATGGGGGGATGGGGGTGGGAGGGATACTGGGATTAGTGATGGTGGAGAATGGGCACTGGTGGAGGGATGAGCACTCGATCATTGTATAACTGAAACCCAAGCACAAAAATTTGTAAGTCTACAACTGTTCCTCATGGTGTTTCTCTAATAAAATTTTTAAAAACAGAATTAATTTTTTCAGATATTATCAGTTATAATTAATTATATTTAATATAAAATGTTTAATGTTATGGGACCAGAAAGATTGTGCTGCAGTAAGACTGCTGTCTTTCATGTGTCTAACCAGGGTCCCATCCCTGACACCATATATGGTCCTCCCTGCAGAAGTAATCCCTGAGCACAGAGCCGGGAGTAAGTCCTAAGCACTCTCAAATATGCCCCCCTCCAAATTCTAATATTATAACAATTTCCACCTAGTACAGGCAAGTTGGGTGAAATAGTCATTTAAATGCTGTTCTTAAGAAGGTAAGTATTTTACAAAGTTAATCAAAAGATATCTGACAATACTTACAAACATTTAGAATGCATATCCTTTTCTTTCCATATTGGAAATTATATTCTAACTAAACTCACTAACTTGCAAAACTTTGGGAAGACTCATTAAAGTTCTA